ATAGAAAAGTAAATGAAATTATGAAAGACAGCTTATGTTACATGAACAAATCAAAAAAACTACAATTAGTAAGTAACTTCTATTAATAAAGCAGATTCTTGTTAAATTTGTAAGGGTATGGTAAACAGGAGGAGAAGAAAAAGAAGGCAGGCAACCCTAATGCTTGCCTCCTTAAGCAACTTTCAGAGACTAGTTACTAGAATTTACATCAGATATCTTCTCAAAAAAGAGAAAAAAAGGCCTTCCATCCGATAGGAAGCACCATAAACCACAATCCGATTAAGATTCCCGTGCACAATTGCCAAAAGCTGAAAAGGAAATGCTGGATAGAGATGAAAATGGAATGAGGTAGCATGGAATAGAAGAAGGCCACTCATTTTTCCATTATCCCATCCCGTCCCTTCCCTTCCCTCTAGCACAGAAGTGTGTCTAGGTTCACTCCTTAAAAGCCTCATTTTCATTGATTTGTTTGTATTTTGGAGTGTTCGGGAACAAGTCGCTATATATATGAGGGCAAGTAACCATTTGCAGACCAAGACCAGTGAAAGCCTCTCACAGAGAGCAATAGTCGATGAATCAGGTGTCCCCTAGAGTTCCCCTGAACACTTCACTGGGGACATTTTTGAAGTATTATTTACCCTACTGAAGTGTTTGGGGGAACTCCCGGTGTCATTTGATACTACCAAACATCTGTTTATGCAGTTTCTTAACACCTAATCACTCCTATCATCAAGGCTTGTTAGCTAGTTAGCATCATTCTCTGTGTTGCTAGCTTCATTTTTATCCCCCTTTTTTTCCCCTTTAATTTGTGCTTTCTTATGTCATCATTCTGGTTAAGCTTAGATGATTTTGACAGTTGCTCCTAAGACCTAACAGGAAACGTTGGAGTAATTCAGGGCAAAGCCAGCCAGATGTTATCTTGGCTATAAAAGGAAACTTGAGAGGTATGCAATTACACAAAATGATAATAAAATAGTAATTTCTACTTTTTGTTGTTGTTAGGACACTTTTTCTCACTTAATAATGGGAAGTTTTTAGGTACAGCTATTTTTGGTAGCCCTAATTTCCATCTCCTGTCTTCTCACCAGTATGCAAGCTATGTTCGTTTTTTCGGAAATTTTGTTGACCGTTCTTTTTTTTTTTGTTCATATCTTTCCCGAGGATTAAACTCCTAGAATAACTCTTAAAAAGTTCTGATTGTCATTACCTTTGAATGTCAAAAATTTCATTTGTAATGGCAGCCTCGGCTTGGGTCCTAATAGAGCCAGTCCCAAGTCCTCTTATCTCTATGAAACAACATCACTGGAGAAGTTTAGATTGGCAAGGTTTAACTCTCACCCAGCCAGCATACAAGGGACCTGAGTGTTGATTTGCAGTTGCCATTTTAATTGACATAAACCAATCCTATCTTTGAGAATCACAGTACTGGGCGAATTCACACTGACAAGGGCTTGTTCTCACCTGCAAGAGAAGAAAAGCATTTTCAATTGTTTGTCCAAATAACCAGAATTGGTCAATGATTGAGTTAGTAAAAACGTAAATATGAATCTTTTTGTTTTACCATGTGAAAGAAGACTTCTTTCTCTCTCTCTCTCTCTCTCTCTCTCTCTCTCTCTTCACCTTTTGTAAATTAAAATGGGTTCAAAAACAATTGTCAAAACATGATGCTTCTATGCAATAAAACATGGGTGTTTATCATAGCCTTTTATGGATCACGCAAATTAGATACCACTGCATTTAGTCTCTAGCATTTCCATCATGGAGTCTATATTTAATGATTTAGACATCCTGCAAGTTACGCCAAAACTTGTTGGAGAACTTTTTCATGGTGTTGCTCTAGGGATATTCTTTGGACAACCTTTCAAGTCCAAAATGCCCCAAATCTCCAAGTTTAATTGATATTCTGGTATTCAATAAATCTTGAATCCTATCAAAAGAATATAAACTAAGGAATTTAAGATGAAACTTCTAAAGCATTACTTGAGGATCCAAGCATAATGATATTCCCCCACAACAAGTAACATGAGGGAATGTAGTGTGTTGAAAAATTAGTACTAATGTTCATTATATCTGTAAAAATACAAAAGTATCTATCAAAAGGTTTCTTTTTTCCTGTTTTCTCCAAGAATCATACCGCTTAGGAAGAAGAGAAAAATACTAAGATGAGACAGGATTTGGAAACTCATTTTCTGCCACAAAAGGAATGAGATAGCTAGTGTTTCTTCTTCAATTTTGCTGACTTATATCTTAATATCTCCAAATGCCAAAAACATGACCAACCAATCATATAATTCATAATGCTCTTGCTATTATAGTTTTAAAGGCCATGAATCATCTGAAGAGCTTGAACTATTAAACTTCCCATAGTTAAAGTGATATGGACAAAAAATATATATATGAAAAGTGGAAACCTGTAAAGCCACGCAACTTGCGAAGTGTGAAAGACACTCTTCTTGAGCCTCCACTCCTTTTGCAGGACCAAATCTCGGAAACCCCATATTCAGATCGCAAGTTCGCGCCTGCAAACCGATTCTAGGAGAAGCGTGGTGGAGGAGAAAGACAAGACAAGCTGCGCGAAAGTGGAGCCGCCGGCGGCGAGAGCAAGTTAGAACAGAGGGGGCTCTGGGCTGTGTTAAAAATATATTTAGGCCCAGCTTGTCCTTCTGGACCAGAGAAGAATCTTACGTGCAGCTGGGCCCAACATCTGTAAATCCAGATGGAGTAAAATTACTTCTCCGTCCCTTTACCCATTCCTACTGCCAAAACATTCAAGAGCTACTCCATCTACATCCAAGGTTGGTTGTGCACTTCAACTTGCACTGAAGTGCACAAACCATTTGTGTGTTACCATCCTATTGCTCTATATAACCTAAAAAGAAATGTCTTCTTCAATATAGGTTGCACATTTTTTATGATCAAAATACTGAAATTACCAAAATATTCTTAATAAAAAAAACTCTTTATATTTATTTGATAATAATAATTTAATAATTTTAATAACGCACACAAAAAAAAAAAAAATACAATCTATACTGAAAAACCCCTCTATCCTAAAAGAAAATTGTCCCCTAAATAATGTCCTAGTTTTGAACCTTACTACAAGCTAGAAAGCATGTGAAGAATAGTCTTGCCTAATAATAAAGGCTATAATGATGTAACTTCAGGTTCTGTATTATTTCCTTTCAAAAATCATGAAGAATTGTATTAGTCCGGCCTGTGCTTGGAGTCTCGGTCTTCACAAACATCTAACTTGAGCTTTTGTAGCAAACTGAATTTTTTTTAGGAACTAATAATTCAGACATGAACAGAGACAATTATCATGTATGAGGCTGCTATAGCCTTTAAATATACCATATACTTGAATTGTTTTTTGAAGCAAAGGAGATGCATTACCCAAAATTTCTATCTCAATAAGCATTTGATATATAGCTCATTTACAATAGAGAATATTCAAATCTTACTCTTCATATCAAGGGGAATTTCTAGGAGACACCCCTATACATGCCTCTTTACCAATGCACCACACTCGACTCCTACTAGGTGTTGCATAGGTAGAGCTTGCTGTAGCAGCCTGTGTGAACTCCAAATCAGAGTTGATGCTTGAAAGTGAGTCCCGGTGCTTTCCATCTGCCCTGTTCATCTGATCAATGAGTGAATGCCTTACATGGAGACCAGGCATTGGAGATTCTGGAAAGTAAGACCTTGCCACAGGAGTACTGGGGTTGCTCAAAACATCTTCTTGAAGAATTTCTCCTATCCTGGACAGAATGCTAAAGGCCAAGTTTCCAAGTACGCGAGAATATGCTTCTAGAATGGAATGCCCAACATCCTGTAAAAAATAAGAGTGAATAATGTGTGATAAATTTAGGGTGATTACTCAATGCCAATACCCAACTCACCTTGCCATATTGAATTTTTGTAGCATCAAGAAATGTTTGGGGAAGGTTTGGATATCTGCTCTTGATCTTCTGTAGTAGTGTTTCTGCTCGGTTTAGTAGAGACTCCATCTTATCCAGCTCAACCATGGGATCTTTAATGAAGGACCATGATGTACGAACTGGTGACTTAGTGCTCACTTGTTCTGTAATTCTCTCTTTCCATGCAAACACAGCAGTTTCCAATCTGTTAATGGTCTCAAGGGCACTGTGTTCAGATTTTAAATTGAGGGAAGAGAACATATCCTCAGGTGAGCTGGAATCTGCACTCAAGATCCTGTGTAGATCTTCACCAAGGTTTTCCTTCCCAGACTACAAACGTGCAAAAAAGGCTTAGTCAAGGACTTCTCTAGATTATAGTTGTAAATGGAAAGAAAGCCTTTGACGTAACAGCTAATGGTACCAATAACTTAGAATACTTTGAAAGAGAGGGAGCATTCTGACCTTCGGAAGTGCATCCCTGATAATGGCTGGCACAGGCATGTCAAGCAGCACACTTTCATTGATGGATTTTGCTGCCTTGAATATTTGATGTACCACCTTACCCCTACATATCAATTTCTTCCTTCCAGTGTCAGAGAGCCCAGCTTTTGGTACTTGTGGTAATGGAAGCCACCACCTCTTACTCTCCCTGGCACTCTTGTTTCTTCCCTCTGCTCGGCTTCCAACTTCTTCATACCAGAACTCTGTGTTCACCATTGAATCTAGTGTTTCCTGTTAATTTGCAGAAATTAAGCAGGTGAGTATGACCAACACATCAATTAAAATCTCAGTAGTTGGGAAGGAATAAAGAAGTCACGTACAATCAGCATGGAGTCCAACTTTTGAAGTGCTGGAAGATTCATGTGAATGTCTGCTCGGGCTTTTGGTGTCATTATCTGATCCAACAAGAATCAAATATGATTATTGCCACATTGTAGGATGCATTTTGTTCAACTATTCAGAATCAAACACAAAATACCTCCAAAGTTCGACCATTAGCATCATTTTGCTTAGCAGGCACTAACTCAACCATATAGTTTGTAGGAGAGAGCAACCAGTCCATTTCTCGTCGCCATTTGTTCTTCCTTTCTTCAGACAATGGCTCTAATTTCCATAATTCCCCAAAGATAGAAGCTGCAAATTCAGTTTGGCATTTTCTAAGAAACTAGTGCAGGAAAGAAAAGGAAATGATCCAATAGTAAATATAAAACTGGCAAAACTTTGGATCTCAAGTATATCACTTTAGGCAAATATTTTCATCTGGTATGATCCATGAATACAAGCTGCCTAGTAATATAAAAGAAGCCAAACAGCATGTATATTTACACATTTAATTTAACAGTAATCATCAATGCACTTACTCTAATCTTGGTGTAACCAGAGTTCCAATGAGTCAATTTGATTAGTTAATAGAACGGCAGAAAACTAACATTATGAGTAACTTTTATGTCTATCAATTGAAAAATAAAAGCTCCTGCAAAAACTTTGGAAGTGAGAAGGATAATTAGCTCATAGTCTGATAAGGAACTTGAGATAAACCATACCTGCAAGATTTGCTATGGCATTCGACAATGCTAAAGCTGTGTTGACACCCTTACTTCCACCAGTAATATCTTCCCCCAATAACAGATGAGCAAATTTTTCCTTCATTGTTTCAACATCTGAGACTGAGAATTGAGCAGCATAAGCAGGTTTCTCTTTGACATAAAAATGTTGGGGGCTCTCTGAGAGCTCCCATTCATCTAAGTTCTGTTCATCTCTCTTCACTGGCAGCCACTTGGAAGAAAATGATCCAAAAGCATCTTTGCTAGAAGAACAGCTTGAAAAATCATCATCCAAGGAGTCCAACGCACATCCATCTCCTCTGCTTGTGCTGCTCTCATTTTCATAAGATTGATTATTGTGAATGCAACTCTCAAGGCCATTATAGGTCGTTACCCCTGGAAGGTCTGAATTTTGTTTCCATTAATCAAATTCTGAGAGAGTGCTATATTCATTTTTATTAAAAGAGATCAACAGACAAAAACAACCATCATCCTAATAAGATGGACATTTTCCCAAGATGCAAAACATGTTGTCATCAGTTTCGGACAGCTAGATATTCACCAAACATTGAATGTTATAAACATTATGAAATTGAAATGAAAAAGACAAGTTCAAACTCCTGTTCTGCATTTCTCATCTGAAAAATCACATGCCAAGAATGGTAGATTCTCTGAAACTTTATTTTTTAATCTTCTTTTCCTCTCCTTTAGAATGAAAAACTTTGTCAAATTTGTCCCAACCGCTGGAAGTTTTAGATCATGTTAATGCATCGGAAACTAGCAAGTTCATTCCTTAGATGTCCATATATTGTAAATCAAATATTAATCTGCAACAAAAATGATTAGATTTCTGCTGGAGGCATCCAACAAAACCTCTATCTCCATGATCAAAAGCACAATATAGACTAAACAATTCCATTTCCTATGACTTCACTTAAACAGGAACAATAAAATGACCATACAAGGACAATTCCACGTGCATGTTTCAAGATCGACCTTAATGAAGATTTGCCTGGATCCTAGTACAATACAAAATTAAGCATCAGGCTTTTGTAACTGGAAAAAATTAAACAATTTTCATCAATTCATCCAAAGCAATCATGTGCTAATTAAAAGCAATGAAAGCATCCTTGTCACATCATCATTGCTGTTTCACTGAGAATATGACAACAGACAACAGAAACTTCCTAAAGTTATTAGAGATTGGACCACATGAAGAAGAGAAATTTCCTAGAAAGAAAGCATGGTAGATCTAAGATGTTCTTATTATAAGTTACAACCAACCCAAGAAACAAACAAAGTACTTGAGGTAGCCATTTTGATGGTTTTATTCATTCATTTAGTTATTTTTTTTGTTTCTTGTACAGTTTCTGGAGAGAGAAAATTTGATCCTTTTTTTTTTTCTTCCCTGTAACTCATTTTAATTTATCTTTGTAACTCACTTTTTATTATTTGTGCTGGGTATTTTCTAACCTATAAAAGGAAAAAATCTGGTGGGTGAGATGGGTAATGCAGTTGTAAAGTTAATTCAAAACAAAAGAAAATTTTGAATTGATGGACCATAGGAAGTGATATATTGGAGCCAATCCAAATGACAATTATTTCAACTTTTAAGGACAAAAGCCATCCAGACAATGACTTACGTGTCCCCACCACTAACTCTTTCATTGTCTCATTTAGTGGTATTGGAGTTTTAAATAATAGTAATCCTGAAGTAAGGGTCCACCAGAGCCAATTGGTGTATCAGGGCTTGCCATCTCCGAGGTTATCTTCCAGGCCATGTATTGATAAATCATAATTAATTTTTTTTTTTCACATATCTAAGCTTATGACTGTGCCACCACACCAGCACTTGTACTTGAAAACAAAACTAAAAAGTTGAAATAATGAGATAACCCCATGTGGCTTGCATGTAGAATGACCCAGACACATCAATGTGAACAAGAAGTTGGTTCATGCCCATACCAGCTAACTGATGGTAAGATTCAGCAAAAGAGTCAAATAAGTGCACTTTCTTCAAATTTTAGGTATCCCTACCTAAAAAAGGCCTGCCTACAAGTCTAAGTAACCAATCTGTATCAGTAAAGAAAGAAAAAAGATGGTAATCAATTAAACACTTTATGCCTCCTAAAATTTCAGATTCCGTGTTTCAGATAAGATCTGGAATAGGAACAAATAGTTTTTTTTTTTTTTTCCCTTAACACAAAACAGTGTCATCCAAAGAATAAAAGTGCATGCATACTAGTATTTCAGAAAATTTATCTGCTCTTCTGATATCCAAGCTGCTTTTAAAAAATAATTATCAAATTCTACTTCAAAAACATTAAATAATTGTTTAAAAGGAAATATTTCTAGTCTTTACTGTAAGTAGTACAATAATAAATAAATAGTAATGATAATCATAATAAGAACGCTGAGAGGTCAAAGCATCTTTAAAGGTAGAATTGTAGGAATTCATTCCAGTCCAATAGACAAGAACATAAATGTTCTGCCAAAAATTAAATAAAGGCACCACAGTTGCATGGCATGGCAAGGCAGTGAGAAGGTTGGTGGGTCTCTTCCACACCCACCCAAGGGCCGTACTATGCCCCCATGGGTCCTTCTCACATTAGACCGCAGTGTTTCAGGGTGCAGACAAAAAAAGGGGGGGGGGGTAAAATATAGATTTTTTTTTCTACAATTTAAAGGGAAATGGAACAATTAGCAAAATCGACTAGAGTAATGTCAGAAAATGAGTTCTATTGACTGATTTGTTTATTTACCATAACGTGAACCAAGTTTGTTGATGGGATCATAGAGACATCTTCACGTGTTAGGCATTTGTGTTACCCAAGAAAACAAAAGTGTTGCTAACTAGTTTGTATCTTAGTCAATAATAAAAGTATAAAACTAAAAGGAACATGATTAGGGCGAGGGATCATATGCAAAGTTCTAAAGAATTCAATATCAACCAGGAAAAAAAAAAAAAAGAGTTGAAAAAATATTATGGAAATTAGAAATGAAAATTCTTACCATCTTGTTCATCAAAGTCAAGGCTAATCTCTCTCTCATGAGTGCAGCAAGCAAGCCTTTTCCTCATCAACATCATCTTTTTGCTAAGTTTGCCCCCTTGATGATCTCCACAGATATATAATAACTCAAAATGATTGCCAAAGATATCAATCCAAGAGCTGTTCACCGTGCCCTACATCAGAGTTTGAGTTAGTATAAAGCACATTAACCCCACATTACATTTTCATTGAAAGAGCAAACAATTGATGCCAAAATGCATGGCCAATTCCTCTTTTTCAGATAATAAAAAACAAAACTTTATGCTCACATACCAAGAGGAGAACATAAAAACAAATACCCTCAAAGAAATTTTTAGAAATTTCATGAAAATTTCTTCAGATGAGCTCATGGACCATGGCTAAGTAAGGTAAACCAGAACAAAAGATAAAAATTTACCGTTACATTGAAACTTAAAGTGCTGCTTTACCTTATTAATTAAAAAGAGCCAGCAAAAATGGCAGGCTTTGGAGTAAAGTTGGGATTTTTGGCAGTCAAAAAGCTATTTTGGATTAAAGGCAATTTGTCTTCTATGTGGATTCCCCTTCTTCACCGATCTTCTTATAAAGAAATAGCGAAATACACCGAAATGTTTATTGACAAACAGTACAGCTTAAAAAGCAAAAATTCAAAAGAATTAGAGAATAAAATCTCAAACTCTTCAAAAACAAATCAAACTTTCTTAAATCGGGTACATTTTCTTGCAAAGAAAACAAATGATTTGTTAACAATGCCAGTAAAATCCGAAAAACCAAAAACCAGATTTCGGGTAATTCGAAACATGAAGCAAAAAAGCTAGCTCCTTTGAATGGAAGTGATGAAAAATCAGAGAAGATAGAGGAGGAGAAGGAGATGAAGAACAGAGTGAAGAAAGCAAACCTGAAAGAGTTGAGAGGAGGAGGACGGCGGCGAAGCTTGGGAGGAGGCTTTGGAGTAGTGAATGTTGGGGAGAAATGGGGTATGAATGGAAGGTACAAGAGTAAAAAACAGCGGGTGCTTTACTCTTAATGCTGCGTCTGTTAAGGTATTGATTGTGGTCACTCTGTTTTCGAGAGAGCAGAAAACAGAGCAATGTGCGTTGGAGAATGGAGATAGGAAGGAATTTGGTGGGCAAATTAAATGGACCCAGAAACCAGACTTTTAAATGGCAGAAATGAGTTATTTTAAAATGAGGAGAGATAAGAGGAAAGCCTGCGGAGCATTTTAAAAAATTAAATATCAATTTTAACCTTTAAAGTTCAAAATTTTGTATAAATTTTACCCTTTCTAAACACTTCTTTAAATTTTTTTTTTCTTTTACAAGTAATGGTTAAAAAGTTAGTATGAATTAGTTGTTAGCAACTGAACACAACCATTAAGCTGTAAGTTGGTGGAGTTCATGACGTGCAACTATTAAACCACAAGTTGATGAAGTTATATATATATATATGCACCCACAGCAGTAGCTGCAATGGTACGGTGCATATTAAACCATGGGTATGACCATGGCTCAAATCCTTATAATATAATCTCCCTGTTCCTAATTTCTTCATGTTTAAAAAAAAATTAAGTTATATATATAATTTTTGATTTTATAAGTTTAAAAATTAAATGAAAATTAAAAATATGTATATATTATAAGTTTAAGAATTAGAAATATTTATATTTAGTCAAATTTAATAAATTAATTAACAAAAAAATAAAAAATGTGTATTTTTAAAAATTGAGGCATAAAAAATGTAAAAAAAAAATGTTAAAGGACAAAAATGATATAAAACCTTAAAATTAAAAGACTTAAATTGATATTTAAGCTGTTTCGAGATGAGAGCAGCAAAAAAGGCCTTCGTTAATTGTACAAGGGTGGTGTCTAAGGACAATCTTTTTATTTTATTTTTTTATTTAATTTTTATATGTTATTAAATAAATATATATTTAATATCATAAATTTTACATAAATTAAAAAAATTAATTATTTTAATAACACATTAGATTGTACAAAAAAATAAAATAAAAATATTATTCAAAAATCATTTTCCATTATATAATTAGGCTTTGAAGTCTTTTTTTTTTTTTTTTATACGAGGCTTTGAAGCCTTAGTTTCCATAAGTTTCAACTAGTTCAAAATTGAGGAGAGATGAGAATATGGAAACAGAGGAATTCCACAGGCCAGGCAGTACCACTGGGGATGGAACTCATAGCTGGCCAAGGCTGACTTTCAAGGAACATGGCGTTTGTCCATCACCCTGATTGAATCTGAACCGTTTGATTTAGGTGAGGTCCACTCCAAATGGGTAATATGGAGATGGGTGAGTCGGGGTCCACTAGATCAGAGTGCGATAGCGCCGCATCGATCGCGGAATTTCAGTTTTTTTATTTTTTATTTTTTTCACTTTCATTGTTACATTATGCAAATGTCATGGATCCATAAAAGAACCACTCCATTACCTATTTTCAAAAAAAATAAAAGAACCACTCAAATACTTCTTGTGCATAATTAAAATGTTTGAAATCGTGTATTTGAGTGCTCTTGTTTCAAGGGAGAGAATGAAGACAGGAAAGGAATTGGTGCAATTTCCTTACCCCTGCCGGCGAACCTTACTGCTTATCCCTAAAGATGGCAATTTTTCCTGGGACATGTGAAGTTCTGTGGAGATCTTCACTGCAAAAATAAAGATTTAAAAAAAAAAATTTCGTAATATAAGGGTGAAGGTATTTTTTTCTTACAAAATTTTAAAAAGAGTTTCTTATATCTCGTGATTATTGATTAAGATTCATTTATAAGAAAAAAATATATTATCAATTAATTTTTACTCACACAACTTAATTAATTAACCCAATCTAATTGAAATTGCCTAGATTAATTCATTTTCTAGTTTTAGTTTTCTCAAACTCAATTTAATAACCCAACTCAACCTAAACATGTATAGCAGTTTATGCTTTTTTTTATGGACTTGGTAAACTTATATGGCAATATGTATTTGTTGCAATTAATTATTAGATATTATTTTACTACATTATATATTAATGTATTTACATTTGAATTGATTTAAATTTTTATTTTTTTATTTATCAAAAAAAATTTATATTTTAATATTTAACAAAGATCTACGAGAATATATATATATTTTTTTGAACAGTTTTGTCATAGGACGGGTTCGAAACCCGCCCAGGGGAGGTGAATGTGCACTTTTCAGTGACTTTAGCCACTGGACCATACGGGCCAAGTGACCCACGAGAATATATTTTTCTCATAGGTACAGGGAGAATGACATTTTCGACCCCCAATTAAAATTCTTGTGAAAATCCCTGTACTTATCATTGATAAACACAAAAACAGGAGGAGTTCCTACCTCCGTAACATCTGTTGCCATCCCTACTTGTATCCCCTATTTATTTTTTGTGCGAACTTTAACCATATGGGGAACTCACCTTTGTTGTATCATCTCATATCCCCTTGTAACATCCCCCAAAAAATATATATATATATATATATTCCAATCACGTGTACAGCGTTAAGGTAATAATGAGCAATAAATACAATTTTTACATTTTTTTTATAGCACAAATGCTTATCTCTTCTTTTTCATTTAACTTAAAATTATTGTCAATCATATTAAATCTATGCCTTCTTTTTTTTTTCGCCCTCTTCCACAAAAAAGTGTTCAAAAGTGAATTTTAGAGAGAGTATCTAGAATCCTCAAAATTAATGATTGCTCTTTATGCTTCTTTATGTTTTTTTTTTTTTTGAATTATTATCATTGAAGAATAAACTATATTGTACCGATCACTTTTACGGGTGGGGATCGCTAGTTCTTCACTCTAATTTATCAAAAGG